GGGGAAATATACTAAGCAACACAACCCAAACTTTTTGCCTGAACGATTAAATCGGTGGGATCGATATATGCACAAGGCTTATTCCTCAAAAAAAAGAGGAGTAGATGTAAAAAAAAAGAGACAGGCGCCCCCCTTTTCAGGGGCGGAAAAAAGAATAACAGAGTGGGTAAAAAAAGGTCAATATATCTGAAAAAACGCAGGGAAAACAGGTCAGAGAAATAGCAAGCATCGAACTTAAACTAAAAGAAACCTTTTGGAGTCAGGGAAACGCGGGAAGAAATAAAAACCATAAATGAATCGAAAGAAACCCAAAATATTTCTTTTCCTATCCCCAAACAAAACGAGAACAACGTCCTATTGGGGCCCCACTTTAAAAAAGATGGGGCCTACACGATGACAGCAAGGAAATGATGAGCTACTCAAAACCCCAAAATGAAATCATTTTGAAGCCCCAAAAAAGACTGAGGTCGAAGCAAAATGAATTTTTATGAGAAGCCACAAAATTTGATTAACACAAGCCATCCGATGTTACCTGACGCCAAATGACTCAAACCGGGCGATAAATGACATGCCCATGCACCTCCCCCGGGGCCAGACTCATGAACTCTGTTTTCATCAAAACTGAAAAGAACCCCTATCCAGCCTTTTCCACCCTATGGAGGGAGCATGGACACGGGGGTCGTCCCTCAGTTACAAAAAAAACAACAGACATACCCCCACTCCACAAAGGGGGCAAAAAACAAAAAGAACTACAGCCCAAATACATAACATCCCAAAATCAAAAAAAATTTTTGAAAGGGTCCTAAAAAGCAAGATCCCCAACCCATCTAAAACCCCCCTCATTACAAAACCCCCGGGCAAAAAAGGGTTTAAAAACAGGTCGTCCTGCTGTCCAACTACTGGATCACTAGAAAAGGGTCCTAAATGCACTAGAAAAAAAAAAAATGCAGATGTAAAAATACGACTTTGCAAAACCCTTCGACAATGTGCCCAGGCGAAATAGCGCACAAAATGCGCGCTAAAGGAAAAAACAAAAAAAGTGGTCGATGGATCTATAATTTCCCACTAACAGAACCAGAGAGTAGTGTCAACAGGTAAAGCCCGAGGCAACGGTGAAAAGTCTGTTCCAAAGGCACAGTACTACCCCTCTTTTCCTCATCCTCAACCGAATGACAAGGATGTCAGCCACAGCCCGTGTCTTCCTTTGCAGAGACACCCAATCGCATGACTTCTTCCATTGCAGACACTGAAAGGGCTCCAGGCGGCATCAACCAAATTTTTCAGTGGGCTCAGAAAACAATTAATTTCAACGAGAAAATTTCAATTACTCGATAGGGGAAACAGAGAAATTAAATTTCATCGAGTACAAAAAAAAATTCGGGGCAAAAAATAGAGCGAAACCCCAACGCAAAGACCTGGGGTGATTATGTCGGGGGATCTCCCCTTTAAAGGACCAAACTTGATCAATGCACTGCAAGAAAAATGACGGGATGGAAAATAGAACCTTAAAAATGGGGGGCCCAAGCCCTTTGATGACACTCTTCAGGTCACTTTTCTATCTAGGCTGGAATATTGCTGCACTCTAACAGCACCTTTCAAGGCAGGTAAAATTTGCCCCCCTGAAAATGTACAGAAAAATTCACGGCGCGCATAACGAGAAAAAACACCTCAATTTAGGGGAGCGTTTGGGTTTCTAAACCTGTTTCCCCGGGAACGCGGAGGGAGAGATACATGATTTTATACCCTGGAAAACCTAGAGGGACTATACCCAACTTGCACACAAAATCATCCTACAAAACAAAAGGGGCTTGGCAAAAGATGCCCACCCCCCCAAAAAAACAGGGGTGTCACTACCGTTTAAAAACCAACAATAATGTCAGGGGGCCCCAATGTTCAACTGCCCCCCAGCCACATAAGGGATTACCAACGACCCCCGGCAGTTTCAAGTGGGACTGGGCAAACACCAAAGTCAGTTCCTGACAGCCGGGCTGTGGGCTCGTACTTGGTTTGCGTGCACCCGCGCAAAAAGCCTGGGTTTATCAGGCGTGATCCACCAGGAGGGCCCGGCACAGACCGGGCCGCGGGGGCGTTTACCCCCGAAAATCCTCCAGGGAACTCCAGAAACTACGAAACAAAAGACTTTTGGGGACGATGCCCTCCCCCCAATAAAGCAGGTGTGTCATAGCACGTTAAGAACCATACAATAAGTGTCAGGGGGCCCGAGATGTTCAAAAATGCCTCCCAGCACACATAAGGGGATTACCAACAACCCCGGCAGTCTTCAAGCGGCACGGGCAACCCTAAAGCCCGTTCCTGTCACCGGGCTGTGGCTCGTTTTCTTGGTTTTCGTGCAGCCAGCCGCAACACCTGGTTGTCGGCGCTGATCCCCAGGGGGGCCCGGTCACAACCGGGGCCGCGGGGGCGTTGACCCCCAAAATCTCCCCCAGGGAAACCCCGGTAGGCCAAATCCCCCTCCAACAAAATCCACTCAAACCTAAAACCCCCCCAACTTCTGACAGACAAAAGAAATAAAAAAAAATCCCCCTTTTTTCCTCCCCCTCCCGGAAATGGGGCCCTAACCCTACAAACTCCCAAACCCTGATGGCACCACTATCCTATTTAAACCAAACTCCCCCCCCACATTAACTTTTTCTAGACGAAACCATCAAAACATGTTTAAGGGGAATTTCAGTTCAATGTACGTTTTTACTTTACAATTTTGACACCTATGGCGGAGCTCCTTGAAGAAGAGGCCAAATGTTTTGCTAAAAAGTATGCCTCAAAGCCCCCCAAATATCCACCATTAGGGTTTTACTGCACTACAGTCCCCCCAGACCCCCCGAGGGTTGCCCTCCTTGTGAATTCCAAAATAAAAAAACCCAATTTTTTCTCCCCAAATCCCTTTTATTCACCAACACTGTCTTTCCTAGAATACACACCCCCCTTGGCCCCCCTTTATTTTTTTCACCACCTATGCCGCCCAAAAATATTCTCAACATACACATTTTCCTTTAGTCTTAAAATACACCACCACCAACATCCCTCTAGTGAATCTAGTAACCATAACTTGTCTTCAAAAATTTTTACCTCACTTTAAAAAATATCAATTGCCCAATTTTATTCTAAACCCCTTTTAAATTGCCCAATTTTACTTAACTTATTGATCAAATTATTGTAAACTTCTTTTATTGACCATTTTTTTTCCATACTTTTTAAACTAGTTTTTAAACTAAAAACTTTTAATTACCGCCCCTACCATTTATTAGCATTTTATCCCAATCATTGCCATTTTTTTTTTTTTTTTTTTTATTATTATTTTGCTCCCTTAAATTTTGTATTTTAAATCCTGTAAAATTTAAATCAATTAACCAAATTCTGTAAACAACTTAATAAGCCCTTGTGCAATTACAATTGAGAGTCTTGTTCCTTTTATTATATTATTAAAATTAACACTTTTTCCCTTAGCTCTTCTGCTCAATACATAGCAATACCAAATTCACTTATAGACCATAGGCAATTACTTTAAGACGGTGATTGTAATTTGTATTTTTTCATTAGAAAAAACTATTTGTACTATAGCTCTTTCGTAAATACATATAAAACCCCAAATTCATATATTAGCCATAGTGAAATTTACAGGAGAGACTGGTGCATTTTAAATTTTATTTTTATATTTTAAATTAAAATTCTTGTACCATAGCTTCTAACTCAAACATAGTCAATAAAAAATTTCACTATATTAACCAAGTGCAATTATAGTGAAGCTAGGCTATTTTTAATTTGTATTTTTATATTAAATAGTTTAAAAACCTATTGTATTGACTCTTTCTAGCTAAAAACATAGACCCACAAAAGTCATATTCCCTTAGTGAAATTACAAGTAAAATCTTGTTCAAATTTTTAAATTTGTTTTTTTTATTACTAGTTTATACCTTTTTTATACCTAGTTGGTGTCAGCGTGTCAGCGTCCTCGTTGTGCTCCGGGTTATCTCGTGTTTTCACGGTCGTCTTTCTGCAGAAATTTTAAATTTTTTCTAATCCTAACGATACATCCCCCTACGCCCGGAACCAAACTTGGGGAAAAATTTTATACTGAGTCAAAAAAAGGGGAAATTTTGGTGCATTACCTGCAGAGTTTACTGCCAGGGGGAATCATAGGCCCCGTGTCCCGTGTGGAAAAAAAAAATAATAATTTAACTTTTCGTGTCAAGGAAAGAAAATTTCCCGATAACATTGGTATACATAGGATGGTATACTACAAATGGCTCCAGTTTTGATGAAAAAGCTAAAGTGTCATTTGAAAAAAAGGTGAATTGAATGAAGAATAAGCCTATAAAGGCGGGCCCAAAGGCCCGAAACTTTCCACAGGTCAGCTGTTTAAATAATCTTCCTGGCTTGCAGTGTCTCGCATTAATCTAGTGATACATGAATAGCAGAATACGTTTTTATGCAATAACCAGTATTTAATGGTACTTAGGGGAGGGAGTGATTTTCATTAGTTTTTTTTTTCTTAAATACGGACGTTACTGTGAATTTCATAAACCTGTAGTTACCACGGGCCCAATATACACAAGAGAAACAAAATTTTTACTACAGAAAAACGTCCTTCCTCCAAAAAATTTCACCAGTCAATATAGTTGATAAATAGCATTTATTGTGGTGGAGACAGAAAAAAAAATAAAAAGCCAGATACAGGATTGAAAACAAAGGGGGTCCCGTTCGTCATTTTTAGGGGCTGCCAGTACACCGGCTCTTCAAAACGCAAGTTATCTTTTTATCAATCAAATAATTTACTAGGGAGATAATTTCCCTAATCCTATGTGTTAGCTCAAATCACCGACCAATGTTTTAAATAAGGGGGCCCACTGATCAAGCAGATCGAGGTCCGAACCCCTTTACTGGTCCGAACCCTTGACTGGTCCGAATCCAGCGGTTTAAAAAATTTCGGGACAATAAAGCAGATGTAAAAGGATGGGGTTGTGGGGGCCCTTATAAACACAAACATTAAAAATCAGGAACGTGACGGTAAGCTGTCCAATATACAAAAAGATTTAGAAACAGAAATACAAATAGCTAGAGCTTCATTTAAGGTTATTAATATAATATTCAAGAGGTTGCTAGTAGAATTGCAGTAAATCAACCTTTCAAATCATTATGAAGCTGTGTGTAGTCTGTGGTCATCAAACAAACGGGCTTCACATGGATAAATTGTCATTTTTGTTTGGGAAATTGGTGTCACGCCCCTTGTGCAAAATATCCCAGAACTAGCTACAAGCAGTATTAAAACAGAGAAGTGTTTTTGGGTTGCCCAAATGAGGAAAATCTGTGGACAAAAATCACAAGGGTATTAAAAGAGGACAAATCAAAGCTGCTTTCATAGAAAACCTGGAAGCTTTCTACAACAGAGGGAACATAAAAAGTCTGGGCTGAATGGTACTGCCCTTGATACTGGCCATGTAGTCACAAACTGTAAGGCTGGAGGTGATTGGTCCCTGGGAGACAGTAATAGTAAAGCTGGAGGTGCTGTCCTGGGAGACAGTAATGGTGAAGCTGGAGGTGCTGTCCTGGGGAGACGGGAAATGGTGAAGCTGGAGATACTGTCCTGGGAGACAGTATGGTGAAGCTGGAGATTTTGTCCAGGTAGTCGGGAATTTATACCAGGAAGGAATACATATAAATGACCTCATAGGGGACAGGAGCCATAGTAGGGAAAAAATGTAGTCAAAGATAAGATAAAACCAATATTGCAAACAGAAATACCGCGGGAAAATAGCAAAAAAGAGGACTCCAATAGCATAGTGAGGATAAATTACCAAAAACAACTGGTGGGAGCTCCATTGTTGGTACTAGGAGGATAGAAGTAAGACAGGGAAACATGCACCACAGGGAATACAGTCACAGAAACCCAAGGCAAGTGGAAACCAAGGGCCTGTGCACATACTATGAAACTTGGTATCTGCTGGCATGGGAAATCTGGAAAAACAGATGGGACATGCAACTATGACCACCCTAGAAAATGCCATGCCCATATGACCAACAGGAAATGCAAACCCCCTTCATGTAAGCTTTTTCACCCTGAAATGTGTACCTCTTCAGTACAGGAAAGACTGTGCTATAACTTAAATTGCCAGGCATACCATCTAAAGGGGACAAAGATACAAAACATCCAGGCCATGGGAAAACCTGGGTAGCCACAGCCACTCAAGAGGGAGAGGTTTTTTAGTGCCAGGAAGGAAAAAAAAACTGGCAGGAAATGGCAGAAATCGTACACCAAATCCAGTCATTCCAGGAGTGGAACCACAGTCGATGGCCTCCCCTCCAAACCAACAGATACAGATACTAAATGCCCGGAAAAAAAATCTTCCCCCCATTTCCAAAAAATACCACCAGTCCCATAACATTCTTCTTTGCAAATATACAGGGTCTAAAGCCAGCAACAAACAACAAAATACCTTTCATCCGTGGCTGCTTGCAGAGACAAAAGGGAATGTTCGCGGCTTTTTACTGAGACCCACATAAAGGATCACTTGGACAACGAAATAAAGGATCCCCGGTTACAACCCATACAGATGTGACAGAGTGAACAGGCAAAAGGGGGGGGTTGGCATGTACATTGCAGAGTCACTTGTTTGCACAGAACTGCTTTAATGCCTCAAATGACGTAGTGGAAGTTTTAGCAGTAAAGGTCGAGAACCAAAACCTAGTCATTGTGGTAGTCTACAAGCCTCCGGATGGAACATCCCAGCAATTCCAGGAAAAGCTGTTTAAAAATTGACCACTGTCTGGAAAAACTTCTAGCTCCTGCACCCAACATCTTGCTCCTGGGGGATTTCAACTAAGGCACCTAAATGGAGGAATATAGCAAATAATATTGTTGCAGTAATAACACCAGGAGGCAGCTCTGGGTGAAAACTCACACTCACATGAGCTTTTTAAAACTCTGCACAAATTCAATTTAAAAACCCGCAAATAATAGAGCCACTAGACTGGAGAATACACTAGACCTCATCTTCACTAACAATGATGATTGATAAGAAATGTCCCCCATATCAAAAACAATATACTCAGATCACAACATAATTGAGGTTCAGGACATGTATGCGTGGAAACCCCAGACCGACAAAATGAGACTAGTCACGAGGGAGCATTCACCAAATTCAACTTCAATAACAAAACATAAAATGGGACCAGGTAAACCCAAGTCCTAACCGATATAAGCTGGGAAGATATACTAAGCAACACAGACCCAAACTTATGCCTAGAACAGATTAACTCGGGGGCACTCGATGTATGCACAAGGCTTATTCCTCTAAGAAAAAGGAGGAGTAGATGTAAAATAGAAAGAGACAGGCGCTCCCTTTTCAGGCGACGAAAAGAATAACAGAGCGGGTAAAAGAGGCAATATATCTGAAATGCGCAGGGGAGACACGGTCAGAGAAATAGCAAGCATCGAACTTGAGCTAAAAGAATCCTTTAGGAGCAGGAATCGCGGGAAGAACAAAAAGTTTTAAAAATGAAATCGAAAAAAACCCCAAAGTATTTTTTTCCCCTATCCAAATCAAAATCGAGAACAACGCCCAGTATTGGGGCCCCTATTAAAAAAGATGGGCCCTACACAGATGACAGCAAGGAAATGAGTGAGACTCAAAGTCCCAAATACTCTTTTTGCAAGCCGAAACCCAACGGGAAGTCGAAGTCAAAATAAATTTTTTTTTTATGAAGACCCACAAAATTTGATTAACAAAACCCACCATGTTATCCTGACGCCAAATGACTTCGAACAGGCGATAAATGAATGCCCAGCATTTCTGCCCCGGGCCCAGACTAGGAATTTGTGTTATCAAGAACTCAAAAGCCCCTCACGAGCCTTTTCCATCCGAGGGGGAGCAGGGCACGGGGGTCCCCTCAGTTACTAAAAACAAAGACTACCCCCACTCCAAAAAGGGCCAGAAAGCAACAGAAAAGGAACTAAGCCCAATAGCACTAACACCCCATATCATAAAAATTTTTGAAGGGGGTTTAAGAACAAGACCCACCATCTAAAAACCCCATCAGTTACAAACCCGGGCAACAGGGTTTTTAAAACAGGTCGCCCTGACTTAAGAAATCGTAATGACACCCTGTCGTCTCAACTACTGGATCACTAGACAAGTCCTAAATGCACTAAAGACAAAAAAAATGCAGATTTTTAATACAGACTTGCAAAACCTTTGACAAGTTGACCATGGGTTAAGAGCGCACAAAAAAGGCGTAAAGGGAAAAACAGGAAAAGTGGTCGAGGGTTATAATTTCCCCTAACAGAAACAGAGATAGCGTCAACAGAGTAAAGTCCGAGGAGCTACGGTGAAAAGCTCTGTTCCCAAAGGACGTACTAGCTCCCTTTTTTGTTCCTCACCCTCATATCCCCAAAGCAAGGATGTCACCCACACACCGTGTCTTCCTTTGGGGATCCCCCGAATCTGCAGACAGGGTCTTCCTTTGCAGCATGCAAGGCTCCAGGCGGACCAAAAACCAAATCTTTCAGGGGGCTGCGAAAAAATATAAAGTTCAACGATAAAAAATTTCAATTACTCAATATGGTAAACAAGGGGAAATTAAATTTATCAGAGACAAAACAAATTCTGGCCAAAAAAAAGAGCGAAACCCAACGTCAAAGACCTGGGATGATTAGTCGGAGGATCTCCCCTTAAGGGAAACCAAACATTTATCAATCGCATCTGCTAGAAAAATGAAGGATGGAAAAAGGAACCTTCAAAATAGGGAGGCCAAGCCCATGATGACACCTTCAGGTCCGGGTTCTATCTAGGCTGGAATATTGCTGCACTCTAACAGCACCTTTAAAGGAGGTGAAATTGCCGACCTAAAAAAATGTACAAGAACTTTCACGGCGCGCAAAGGGAAAAAAACCTAATTACGGGGGAGCGCTTGATTTTTTTCAAAACCTGTATTCCCCGGGAACGCGGGAGGGAGAGATCATGATTTATAAAACCGGGAAAAAACCCCAGGGGGACTGTACCGAACTTGCACACGAAAAAAACTCATACGAAAGCAAAAGACTTGGGGAGGGCATGCACCTCCCCCCCAAAGAAAAGCAGGGGTTCACTAGAGTTTTAAAAGACCATACAATAATGCGGGGGCCCAGAGTTCAATGCCCCCCAGCACACATAAGGGGGGGTTACCAACAACCCCGGGAGTCTTTAAAATGGCAGGAAGCACCTAAAATCAGTTCCCGATACCGGGTGTGGCTCTACGTTTTTTCCGTCAGCCGCGCAACAGCCTGGTTGATCAGGGCTGATCCCCGGGGGCCCCCGGTCACAGAGGGCCGGGGGGCGTTTACCCCCCAAACTTCCCAGTAAATCCAGTAAGTTCATTCCAGCACAACACCAGACAAAACACAACTTCATTAATGTAGTAGTGACTATACCCTAAAACCAAAATACTCTACATATATTGTCCCAAATTCCTACCACTACAGAAATCAGTATAAACTCAACACACAACCAGGATATAAATAACCATAATTTAAACTAGAAGATGATTGATCACTTTGACCCTGATCTAAACCTCCATAATCTGACACCCAATCAAAACCTGTTGGAAAGTAGCTGCCTTTATTACACAGCATCACAACCACCACTATCCTAAACAATGCTAAAGTCTATCAGTACTTAACTACAACATCAGGTCCTTAAGCAAACACTATGATGACCTCCTGGGCACTCCTTGAATCACTAAAGACACCCTTCTCCTGCTTTAAATCTTACTGAGACCTGGCTTAAGCAGACACAATAGATATCTACCCTTTTACCAGGATACACAGCAATTCACAACTGCAGACCAAACCAAGTTGAGGGTGGTATTACAATCTATTACTCTAACCAATTATCTTGTCTTAGCACCACTTGCTTTAGTGATGAATATGGGAATACATTTTTGCTAATTTTTATTGTAAAAAAACTTAAGACGCCTATAACATTGGGTTTGCCATTACCGGATACCTCACAAAAAACATCCCAAATTTCAGT